CTCGCTTAGACCTGGCTCGTGATTTCTGAGCAGCACAGCAGCCCCTGATCACTTTATTTTCCAGGAAACTCAGCCAGTACTTCCTAGTTAACTGTCCTTCAGCACATGCACCGACTTCCAAGGAAATTTTAATACCCCCTCTCTTACTCTTTAAACCTTGTTACTGGTAGCCTTGAATTACCAACTTCAGGAAGAGCAGGGACTATAGGAGAGAAATAGAACATGCTTACTTGTTTTTACATTTGTGATTGACGTGTTCTTCCTTGCCATATTGCAGGGATTCTGGAATGACAACCTGATTACTACACAGTGGCTGCAGGGGCAAAGCCTGGCGCCTTCAGGACAAAACAGTGCTATCCCACAGACCACTTGCTGTGTGAGATGAAGAGGACTGCCAACGAAAGACTAAGCTGCAATCAGCCCTGTTAGATTGGAGGAATCAGACTTCCTAACATGGAATTTGAGTGGGGGGAAGCATTGGCGTGCATTCCTAACTTTGCCAAAGTCTCATTAGTAATTCCACTAGGCTTTAAGTTCCTTGAGGGCAAGAATCATATTTATTAGGGTTATCAGCATATCACCAGGCTGGCACAGTGCCTGACATAGCAAGTACTGAATGAATAAACCTCTCTCCTCCCTTCATCTGTGAGTCGGTATATAATTATGTGTGCATGTGTATGTGTTGCTATGGAGACATAAATACATTTCTCATAAAAACCTTGCTCTAGGGCAGTGGTTCTCAACCTTCTGGCCCTTTAAATACAGTTCCTCATGTTGTGACCCAACCATAAAATTATTTTCGTTGCTACTTCATAACGTAATGTTGCTACTGTTTTGAATCGTAATGTAAATATCTGATATGCAGGATGGTCTTAGGCGACCCCTGTGAAAGGGTCGTTCAACCGCCAAAGGGGTCTCGACCCACAGGTTGAGAACCGCTGCTCTAGGGTCTAGAACAGCCGTGGGCAAACTACGGCCCGCGGGCTGGATCCGGCCCGTTTGAAATGAATAAAACTAAAAAAAAAAAAAAGACCGTACCCTTTTATGTAATGATGTTTACTTTGAATTTATATTAGTTCACACAAACACTCCATCCATGCTTTTGTTCCGGCCCTCCGGTCCAGTTTAAGAACCCATTGTGGCCCTCGAGTCAAAAAGTTTGCCCACCCCTGGTCTAGAACACTCAACTTCAGTGGAGGGTACTAAATCTCAAACAAAGGAAGTAGTTTTCCCTTTCTTGCTCTTCACCAAATTACATTATGTAAGCTGTAAATACAGGGATGGGCAATAGTAGGGTTACAGTTGTGAGTACGAGAAACAGTTTATTCTTGTATTATTATTTATTAACTACTGATCCGACAAGCAAAATTGCGTGAGACCTGGGACCCTGGGGCTCCCGGATAGATTGCCCCAAAGAGGTAGGCTGGAGCTGCAGCCCCCCAGCCCCCCAGGCCTCTTTCTCTGCTTCCTCCTCCTCCTCCTCCTCCTCTTCTTCCTCACATTCTCCTTCACCTCCTCCTTGTCATCTTCCACTATGATAATGGCCTCTTCCTTTCCCTGTAGACTGGCTAACACCTGGTACTCCCATCCCCCTATGCTACAGGTATCTAGGGCCTCTCCACCAAAGCCGCTGGGCTATGGCTCTGGCTCAGTAACCTGAATGTCTGAATGTCGATCTCCAGGCTCCCCCCCTCCCCCTCAGGAGAGAATGTTTCCAGGCTCTCCGCGGGAGGGGGCGCCTCCCCATACCCAGACTCAAAATCAGGATCCCAGTAGCAACACCTGGCACCCAGGGTGAAGTACACGTGCACTCCCCCCTCCTCCAGAATGACATAGGGGGGCGGCGGGAGAGCGGGGCGCAATCCATCCCCTTCCTGTCAGCCAGCACCTGTGCCACTTCCCTTTCCTCTTTGAGCCTCCAGCGCTGCTCCAGTGGAGGCCGGGGCAGTCGCATGAGCCCTGGTGGTGGCGGAGGTGGCAGCAGCAGCAGCCCCTCGTTTTGAGAGGGCTCCGAGTTGCTCAGGCGGCAGGCCTTGGCAGGAGGCCCCTCCTCCGGGTGGTCCATGGTGACTGCACTCAGAGCACCCTGCTCGCCCCTTCCCTCTCAGCCAGGCCGCTGCAGCCTGTCACACCTGAAGAGGAGCTGCTGCACCTGAACACGACCAGCTCTGCTCACAGCTCCACTCTGTGTTCCCTCCCAGGGAGCCTGTCCTATTCCCTCCACACCAAGTGCTCAGGTCCCGCCCCTCCCTGACATCAAGGGCCTATTCTGCCTCCTCGCACACCCCGCTGCGCAGGCAGCCTCCTGCTGATGGGTTGTGAGGGCATGAGGGCATCACAGCATGATGGCGTGACGACCACCTAGGCCAGTGGTCAGCAAACCGCGGCTCACGAGCCACATGCGTCTCTTTGGCCCCTTGAGTGTGGCTCTTCCACAAAATAACACGTGTGGGTGCGCACGTACAGTGCGATTGAAACTTCGTGGCCCATGCGCAGAAGTCGGTTTTCGGCCTGGGCAAGTCTATTTTGAAGAAGTGGCGTTAGAAGAAGTTCGGGGTGTCGGTCAGTCCGGCAACGGGATTTGCAGCGGGGGTAGGCGCGCACGCGATTAATGCAGGAGTTGAGGATGGGAGAGTTGGAAGGGGTTGACCTCAGCGAACATACCTCAATCAGATTGAGGACGTTTTTAGCAAAGGCCAGCTTAGGAGTACCCTAATTAAGTTAATAACAATGTACCTGCCTATATAGTTTAAGTTTAAAAAATTTGGCTCTCAAAAGAAATTTCAATCGTTGTACTGTGGATATTTGGCTCTGTTGACTAATGAGTTTGCCGACCACTGACCTAGA